GATCTACGTTGAGCTCCAGGCCCAAGGCATGGCTGTGCTCCCGACATGTGTGGGAATTCAGCATGCTTTTACAATATGCTTTTGGTCACGTTGTAGGCGTGTGCAGGGCTTTGCTCGCACGCGGTGGCATTGCAGGGCATTGCTCGCATGTCGTTATCCCGGGCTTAATGTGCATATAGGCCCAAACACCCTAGGTATTGCCCTTTGGCGCTGTCCTTAGACTGCAGTGCTGCAATCTCCTTTGCGCCATGTCGGGCGCTGAAGGAAGTGCCAGTGCATCTGGTGATGAAGGAAATGTGGTCTCAGTCAAGGAAGTTGCTCAGATCATGGTTGGGAAGATTGTGTGGTATCCCTCAACCAAGGTTGTGCACAACCAAAGCTACTTTAAGCTTGACAAACACGACCCTGTGTTGACCAAGCTGGTGACTGGCCGTGGCCAAAACAGACACAAGAACCGTGAGCGAGTCAGGGTCACCAAGAAAAGATTTTGGCTGCGCACAGAGCAAGCCAGAAAGGCTGCCTGCGACCAAGCTTTCCACGAAGTACAGCTACAAGCCATATCAGCCGCTGGGCAGGATGCAGCTGCCTGCAAGTGCCGCCCAGCCCTTGATGGTGATGCCATCTTCGTGCCCGGAGGATGTGTTAACATCACCATCGCTGGGGTGATGGTCAAAACCACCTTTGCCTTGAAAGGCCCTTTTTGGATTGAACTCAGTGCAGAAGCTGTTAAGGCTGTGCTTACAGCCTTGAAACGATCTACAGATCACCAGCCTGGATCCCCCAACAAAAAGGCCAAGCCCAGGGCGAAGAGGAGAGCCAAGAGAGATATAGAGGCGCTGGGTGACGACCATGCTGAGCATCAAGAAGCTGAGGCGGCTCCTGCAGATGAAGCTGCAGCAACAGAACATTCATCATGAATGTTGAGTGAACAAGGCCATGCGTACAGGGCAGCGTAGCTTCAGGGTAGCGTTCGAAGTTGTTGGGCTGCGTTGTAAATACTATCGGGCAACACATGCGTGCGAAGAAGACAAAATCGCACACACCTCAGCATTCTCAAGCACCGGCGAGTGCAACCCAGCTTCGGCGCAAACAGCGAGCAAAGCCCTGCATGTTTCCAGGATAGATTGCCTTGATGTGTGTGGCTCCTTCAGCCTGCGCATGTGAATAGCAGCAACATGTTTTCCACAGCTACAACAACGCAAGGAATCATGAAACCACATTAGCTTAGATTATGACTGCTCCACTGCATCTGTGAAAGCCCCCTCACCTGCCACCATGTCGGAGCGATGGCAAGCATTCCTCGAGGAAGTCCAGGGCCTTCGTGATTTCTTTGAAAATCAAAAGAAGGTTCTAGATGTTGCAGGCTTGCAGACGCTGATGAGCCACCATGTCCGTCAGATCCTGTCTAGGGACAACTTGTTCTGCGATCCTGCTGGCGCCACGGCCTTCACAGAGCTGGTCTCAAGAGGATCATGGACAGCAGAGCAGAAGAAAGAGCTGAGCAAGTGGGCCAGCGATGTGTTGCTCTCCTGATCAGGATCCAAAAATTCACCGAAACGTGAGACTCAGGTGATCGACACTTTTGCGCACTACTTCAGTGCCAAAGATGTGCAGATCCTGTCCAACCCTCGCGAGGACCTCACCATCAAGCTCGACTGCGCTTGGGCCTGCATGTCTTGAGAATTTGTTTTGTTTAGATAAGATATGTTGTTTTGGTCATATGGTGGCACTGTAGACAGCATCCTGGCTGCACACATCGCCCGGCAGGCATTGTGAGCAGGCTGCAGAAGGTCGGGCTCCACTTGCCCAAAGAACAGACCTGGGGCAAAATCCTCCAAGCCGCTCAGGCGGCCGGGCTGCAGGTTGAGGATGAAGCCGCATCCGTGGCGATCAAGAGACGGTTGAAGCACTCACTTCAGAAACGGCCAGTCTTGGTCAGCAGCCATAGGGTGAGTTTCCCCATCCACCCACAGGACATGCCCTGGTTCAAGGAGGCCTATGGGGACGAGCTTCCTCATGACTTGGATGAGGCCACTGTGATGACCAAAAGTGTTAAGCTGCGGAAAAGCAAAGGTGCCAGCGCCTCAAGCAGTGCCTACACTGCACCCCAGGGTGCCAATGTGCCTCCACAGGCCATGGGCTGGGAGCCCCTTGCTATGATGATGGCCAACATGATGAACTTCCAGTCTGCAGGATTCCAAAATGCACCAAATGCAGTACTCCAGTGGAACAAGAAAAGGAAGATGCTCGAGGATGGCCAACCGGCCGCTGACCCACACCAGCCTGAGAAGCCGAAGCCGCTGACAGAAGCTCCGGCCATCATGGATCGGACTGCAGAGCCTGCTGCTACCGTCAAACCTGAAGCTTCACCAGTTCAGCAACAGGAAGCTGCTCAGGATCAACCCAGCCAGGTTGCAGAGCAAAAGAAGTCAGAAGCTGCGCTGTTGGAGTTGCCAAAGCCTAGCACTACGGCACCACCCATTCCGAAAGCTGGAGCTCCGTCCGGCAAGAGCAAGCCTAAAGCGAAGGCAAAGGCAAAGGTGAAGAGTGGAGCAAAACCAAAGGGGAAAGCTGCTGCTAAAGCCAAAGCAGGATCCTTGCACCTGAAATGGCCGGGCACGAAGGCACAAGAGCCGATCCACGCACGTGGTCATATCATCTATGTTTGCCCACAGAGCTCCAACTACCGTTTGCGCAGAAGTGGTGAGAGGAATGACAAGGCTTTCAGTTGGAAAGCAGTTACTCCTCACGTTGCCTGGAAGCGGCTCGTGGCCCATTTGTCCGAACAGGATTAGGGGGGAGCCCTGCGCAGGGCTGTACTTTGGTCGCTTCACCGCGGCGCAAAGTCATTTCGGTTCATGGGGAGAAAAAGAGTTTCGCATTGCCTGCTGCTGTTTGCTCTGTAAAGTTCTTGATGTTCACCATCCTTTCGTCGGCCTCCAACTGTCCTGCCTCGAGCCGAGATGAGTTGAGGCTTTGTACCAATATATGATCCCGCAACTGCCATGCATGTAATGATTGTCATCACTTCGCTGTCGTGTTTAAATTTTGTGATGTTTAGACCTGTGTGCAACATCTCTTTGGTTTCATGTATATACAGTTGTTTTGCACATATGGTTGCAGGTGTCACCATACATTGCCCTG